ACATGATGCAGTAAATATCGTGCTTGCGTATGATAGCAACCCCTCGTCTGACGGCAGCGTCCGCCACTCCGCCCGCACGCGCGCCCGTCACGCCGCATCGTTGTCTGCCTACACCGCTTCGGCCGCAGCCTCGGCAAGTGCCTTCACACGCGCTGGGTCAGGTGCAGCAGCACCAGCAGCCAGTGACTAGGTCCAGCCCTGGGTGGCGCAGGTTGTGACATTTGGCGATTCCGCGACTTACTGGGCCCCTGAGCCGCTACCCGTGTGCGATTTTTTGTGGCCCGGACATGATACTGATAGTAAACGGGTCAGAACCGGCCAAACACAGGCTACAGCCCCACACACGCGCCCGCCATAGCTCCTGGAGAGCATGCGCGAGTGACGCGCTGCAAGCCGCGAGAGTGGCATCAGAGGCAGGAACGACGTGCTCTTGCTGCACCTCGCAGCTGCACCAAGTGTGCTCGCAGTGTATGCCACGGCCACTGCCTGCGGCATTGCTCTCGTGCAGCTAGGCGATGCAGGTCCATCAGCAGGGCTCATCCAATGCGAGCGCACATTGTGCGTAGCCGCGGGCAGGTGGCAGTGCACAGCACACCGGCTGTGGCGGCTCGAATGCCCCCGGCAGTGCTGCTAGTCATCAACTTGCGTATTAGGGCCGCAGCAGACTGCTGCTGTGGCAGCAGCAGCAGCCTGCTGCTGCCTGATTCAGTCAAGCCAGCGGTGCAGCGAGGCGTGCAGAATTCGCGCGGTTTTGTCCCTCCTGAGGCTGAGCGCATTCGAGCCCGTCGACCGGAGTTGGATGGTACCACGCGTCTCACTGAGACGCGGGGTACTGGCCATGGCCGGGCTACGGAGCGTGAGGTGGCGAGCGGAGCGAGCGACAAAACAACGAGAAAAACACGGATCTGAGGATTGTCACAAAACCTCAGATCTTGCGCCACCCAGGGCTGGACCTAGTCTCTCGTCTGCAGCAGACTGCTGACTGCACGGCTCGTGACTCGTGTGTGTTGTGGAGAGTTTGACTTTGAGCCGCCACATAGGTGGGGTCACGGCGTCACGCAACTCTACTCTCGACCCCGACTCAAAGCGACTCTAACTAAAGAGAGGGCAGAGCGGGGCAGTGTGGGCAGAGAGACACAGCTCGCCCCAAAATGCCTGGCGCCGACTTGACGGCAGCATGGAGACGTGATGACCCGACAGTGGCACTCACACCTTGGCACCTGTTCTTGACGCCCCCCGCCGCCGCGGCGCGGCGCTCTGCGCGCCGGCCCTGCGGTTGGGCGGCTTCCAGTCTCCGCAGCCACCGTCTGGCGCGCCGCAACATCGCCAGCGCGACACCGGGTTTGGCTCTCTGCCGCGCTCCGCCGTCACCCACCCCATCCCCTGCGCGCCTCGCGACGCCCCCGCCGGTGGAGCCCCGCACGGCCCGCAGCCGCGCTCGAACGGCACAAAGTGGCCGGTTCCCCCGGGGTAGCGCCTAAAATCCCCAGCCCGTGGCTGAG